GTCAACATGGTTATAACGAAACGCGCGTCCAGTGTAAAAGTAAAAGTGTTTTGGTGTATTGTTGTGATTTAGTGTTTTATTTTTTATTTGCTAGTTATTAGTCTATAATTAAAAAGTAAAGATGTATATTTCAAAAACCAGTCGGTACAGACTATGGATTTATGGTTAGAAATTGTTATTTACCGGAATGGGAATTTTATTGCAAATCACTGAACAAAAATATGCACCATTCTATTTTGAAAAGTTACAACTTTAACGTGTAAATTTTACAACTACAACGCTGCTGCCATTGTTATGCATACTAAAAAAAAGGGAAGCAAAAATTTTAAATTGAAAATCTGATATAAAGTTTTTCAGAACACTGTAGCACTTTGTCAAATTTGAATATTTAAATACAAATTTAACTAACTAATAAAAAACACATTTTAAGAGGTCCATCTCCCCACGTCGACAAACGCAATACGCAATAAATCAAGATACAAATTAACATATATGAATTAAGTATTTTTCGAAAAATATGTATATTTATAGAGACTTTTATTACTCTATCTACAAAAGTAGTATCCTTCTTTTGAAATTTTTCGGTCTTGTACTTATACTGTCATTTGGATAAAGTAAGATAGTCTATTTTTGTAAAATAAACGTCTGTTATGTACGTAATAATATTTTAACGTTGGAAGATAAAGAAGTCAACATATTCTGTTTTGTAAGACGGATTATTAGACCTAAAATGGAATTTTATTATAAAACATTATTCATCTTCTTTATGTAGAACGGAAATACCCAATCCGGTTATTTAATATATTTTTATTATTCTGCCTTATCTTTCATCAATTCATTTTTATTGTACTCAAATTAAAAATACCTATTTCTTTATTCATTTTTTATTTATCTCAAGAATACGACCGTACACACTACATGTTTTATCTTTGCCAGTCTTTTCGTAAGTGAAGGCGAACGTTGTACAAGGGTACAAATAACACAAGAAATGGAGTTCGACTCCGATGATGAAGTAATAGCAGCGTCTGCTATACTTTTAACCTCAACTGCATTACTTCTGTCAAAAACTAGTAAAAAGAAAAAAAACGAAGGTGGTGGACTAATTCGCTCAACAACATTCTCGCAATTCTCTTCTAATTCGACAAAATTCTTCAAGGGATACCATAAACTATTCCAACGAATTAGAATGTTATTGTCATTTAAACTCAAGCTCTCTTGGAGTAACATATGTCGTGTGTAAGGCGATCAAGCCCACTGGTGAGTTTCAACAAGTCCCCTTGATGTGTGTAGTTTCAACAAGTCCCTGTGATGTGCCTATGAAAATACCGCTTTATAGGCAAACCCTGGCCAGCGCCAACCTTGCCTTTGCTTTGTCATATGTATTGCATACGCCAACGTTGAAACGAGCGGCCACTGGCCAAGGCTTGCCATGCCGTATGTAACCGCCTTTATGGCAAATACAACAGAGCGGTAAACTAACAGACAGATATAGTCTGTTCAACGAAAAATCCTTGACAGCGATATATGTGTCTGACATTTTCATTTCAAAGTAGTTTATTTTATTTTACAAAGAAATAAGTTAGATTATTCTTTGGTTAGATATAGAAATATTAACTGTAAACTTTGCTCTAGATATACAGTTAAGTTTTCATCACAAAACACAACTAATAACATGAACCAAAATACAAAAGCCATTCGCAAATAAGTATTTCACATAATTTAACACAAATTATAACCTATAATTTGCCAAGAGTTTGACAAGCCTCAAAAATCTTAAGTCGAGTTCATACGCATCTGAGTCCGTAAATCGTTCATCGTTCCCTCACTCCAATAATATTGAAATATAATCTGTAATTTTTTTTAAATAAACCAATAAAACTGGTTAAAAACAACAAGAGACGACGCATGACGGATTTATGTATAAACCCATCTATAGTTAACTTAATAAATATTGGAAACTTTTTTAGTAAAATAAATGGATTGGTATGGACGTCATCTGCCTTTTTTCTGTCATCGTCTGTCGAAATCTTATCTGAGTAAAAAAACAGAGTATACACTCTAATCCTTAAAAAATTAATAATATAACTTTCGATTACTTGAATTAAACTTTACAATAAAAATAATTAAATTTAATTAAAGTAATACACCGGATGAGTAAAAAAGGTAGAATTCGCAAAAATGTAGGATATATTTTAATAATTATGTTTAAGTATACTATAATGTTTTCTGTTATTAAACACTGAATATCCAATTTCACTATTCCTGTCCATTTAACAAAATAATTTGTGGTAGATAGATATATTCTAAGATGGAGCTATCTTATAAACGTAAATTTCTTGTATTCCAGTTATTCTATACGTCTGAGCGACACAACAAAGAGATGTTCTCCTCTAGAACCTTGAATTGAATTAAGATAACATCAAAAGGGTCATGAAATATTTCGATTTCAAATGTAGGTGGAAGGTCTTGTGCAATGGAATGTATTCTCGGAACTAAATATATCAAATCGCTTTTGACATACCATAAATTCTTATTTGTATAAAAGGCATAAGAGTAAGAATATCTATTTTCTTATATTTTTTCTATATCTATCTCAAAAAAAATTATTTGCAATTATTTTACCAGCGTCATTGATGATATTGGAGTTTTTTTTCGCTTCAAAAAATAAAATGACCGCACCTCTACAATTTTAAGATTTACCATATTAAAATCTCTTTCTATAGCCCCAGACAAATTTTAATGAAAGAGTATTGAAAGATATAATACATAGAAATCGATCAAGATACAAAAATTGAGAGAACTAAATAAATAGTAATAAACACTAAATATAGAAAAAAATATTAAACTAGCAATGGAATCTATGTATATAGAACCATAAGATGAAAAATATTTTGAAATCTAATAATTTCAATCTCAGCATAGCATGTTTTTGATATAAAATGATCAAGTTAACATCCATTTTGAACAAATATTCTATTTTTAGCCCTACAACTTTGAAAATGTGTTAAATGAGTGGGCTCTATCAAGTGAAATGCTGTCCAAAATCTTGCAAATTTTTTCTATATCAATCAATGTCATGCCAGGGGAAACCTATATAAGTTAGACCTTTATAAAGCAATGGCCATACGGAATATCTGAAATTGCAGGGTAAACTTTAGTAAAATTATGTATGTATAAAATTAAGAGGAATTATTCAGTTTATTGCCATATTTTTTACGATACAATTTTAGTACAATATCTGATTAAATTCTTAAACAGAAAACTTTAAAATAATATTAAATTATTATCTGACTTCGTACCGCGTGCAATGAACATTTTTAGCCTACAACAATGATTTTTTTCTGCCAGTCTTTTAATAGGGATGAATGGATTAACTAAATGATCTAAAATTATTGAAACCAATCGATTTGATACTTCAGTTGTAGTGATTTATTCTCTATATTTTTGTTTGCATTTTGATACAAGCATTTCCTAGACTATTTGAATATGATATTTTCCCACTCTTTTCCGATGAATTTCTATTCTATCGACTGTATTTGAGGATTGATTGACATTGAATGACACATCATACTCAGAGATGTGACTTATTTCAGATACAAGTATTTGAAATACAGATTAAGATACAAAATACGTATTTTCATTTTATCTTTGAAATGCTTCTTTTCATTTAATCTTGTATCTTTTGTATTTCGATACATTTTTTTAGTATCTTAGTATTTTATAAATACTTAGTTTGCTAATTATTACCTATATTTGATATCACTTAGACAGCCTCTACACTATGCAAAGAACTCTTCGAACGTCGCCCAACTTTGTCGCATTTCGATTTATTTCCAATTGTCTTGACCCACTTTGGTTTGCCTCGGCCTACTTTCGATTCGTAAAAGTGCCTGAAAACTACTCGTGAGGAAGGCGTGGGGGGATATTTTTTGGCGTTTCCTGTTGCCTCGTTCAATTTTGTTTCGTTTTGAGCTATTTCCAAAACGTGGCGGTATCTGTAGCCGAGGCAAAGGATTTTTTTTCATAAATCTCAGTGAAATAAGTAAATCTAGACGTTTCTAAAATAGCTGTTATTGCGATGATATTTCGTTAATTACATCTCGTTTTATGTTGATATATATATTCCACAAAATTAATATTTGAACACGCATTTATATGTAGAGTAGATATTTAAGAACAAAACTTTTCACTCAATCTGCAAGAATGTCATTACAATATATTTATTATTAATTTTATTATAATGAATTAGTATATAAAATTGTATATGTTATGATTGTTTACGCGGCCTTAATTGATTAATATAACAGTAGTATTGCTTGATGAGTACTGGCAACATCATCAATATATCGCGCTGATTGGGAAAATTATTGATTGACCCGATCTCAATAAAAGATACTTTTATATATAATAATAACATGGTTTGATATAAATCCATTCAAAAATAAGAAATAATTAGACGATTTTTAAAATAGTTTAACACCGTGGATATAACCTATAAAAGGCGGACCGCCACAACAGTTAGACACTGCGTCTTGCCCAACGGTTTTACAATTTTAAGTTTTGGAAATATATTTTTTTACTATATTGTAAGTAATAATTTTAGACAATGATTAAAACTAAATATTATTGTGTAACATTAGAGGAATAGCCTTCTTATTTCTTCAGTCAAAGATGGTAGTTTAAATTTCATTCTATAATGACATGTCCATAAATGTAACGACAATTTGCCTCGAATTATCACGTATCTGGTACCAAATTATTCGTAAAAAGGTATTTTCCAAATACTCTAATGAGCTCCCTCGATTGTTTTGAAAAAATTGAGTTATAATTAAAAATATGATTTGGCATAACAGAATGCCTATTTAACAAATCACAATTCATATTATGTATCCACACTAATAAATTTAATATCTTATGATCTTATTATGTCTGGAATACTAGAAAATTATATCTACTTTTACTTTACCCAATATGGAATTCTAAGGATTTTCGTTTTCCAGGTGCTGGATCAAGGAATCTCGCTTCGATATTATCCAGCAGATTCCGGTAGGAGCAACGATCTTTCTCAACCTAATTTTCCTAATTAACATCGTACGTGTCGTCGTCGTGAAACTTAGAATGGGACCGGCACACGATGGCCAAGGGGGTGGAGGGGGCGCTTCTAGGTCCACGTTACAAGCGTTAAGGTAAGTTCTAAGTTCTCGTCATATCAGATTAGAACAAAACTTAATACGTTTTGGTATAGAAAATCAATATCCAGTTAACATATGTAAACATGAATCGTTTGTAACCAAAAAGTACCATACGATCCAAAAAAAAACGGTGTCAAAGACGGCTGGGCAATGACAATCGATGATAATTTTAGCCCTAAACTTCACTACTTGGTCCTCTTCTTTATTTTACGCTAGTTGCTAGCGTTTACTGTTAGTTGGTCTTAAAAAGGTTGTAGTTTATTTTATTCAGTAAAAATGATTTTTAAATGGTGTGGTTACTGGTTAATTCAGGACAAAAATATATTTTTTTGGAAATAGATTTGTGTGTCTGGAAACTTTCTAATTTTTTAATCTTTCTATAGTTAGTCTGGTTTGGTTAAGTTTTATGTCATTCTTTAATGAATGACGGCTGACCTAGAGATTGACCTAGCCAAACTTATCATCGGTTGTCATTCCCCAGTCGTCTTTGACGTTCTTTCGGGTTTCAACGTTCAAGACGGGTTTTAACGTTTTTAACTCTTGACATATAAACATTTCATGGGAAATAATATCAAATAAGATTTTTTTTAGCTACCACAAATGTGTCGTATGATGTAGAAGACCAACTGGCAGTAAGCGCCATTGAAAAATCATAAATATAATTCTTTTTATTTATTATTTTTTAATGGCATTATCTTTTAATGTTTGATGGCATATTTTTCTAAAAAAAAATGTCATAAAATATTATTTTCTTATACAAGGTTTTAGCCTCGGTTGATAATACGAAAACGGAAAGATATTGAACAAAATATTTTATGGGTATATGTGGGGAGGCAATGTGCATAATTTAAAATTATTTGGAAATATACAGGGTGTTTCAGAACAGAGATCCATACCAAAGTTATATTTTTTCTTATGGAACAACCGGCATTTTATTTCAATTTTGGATTCTTGGGCCTAAGAAAAGGCATTTATTCTAATGGTTAAATATGTTTAAAATTTTTGTTGATTTTGGTTTTTGAAATATTTAGAGATATTTTGAAATATTTAAAGAAGTTTTTATGTAAAATAAATATTTAAAATAGACTAGCAATTTTTCATAACCTTGTATACATTAAACGAAGCAATTAAATTTTTCAGTAAAGTTTATTTCTCTGGCTTAAAAGTCAGCACAAGAATTAATTCTAAAAAGTAATGTCCAGGGTGTGGAGAATATTTTTTATTATAGCATGCATATTTAAATATCTCAAAAACCGAAGCTTGTAACTAAATAAATGGTAAAATATTTAACCCTTATAATAAATGCCTTATTTTGTGTCCAAGGATCCAAAAACGTAATTAAATACCAGGTGTTCCATAAGAAAAAATATAACTTTGATGTGGATCTTAGTTCCGAAACACCCTGTATACTGCAAAATAATTTCAAATTATGCACATTGCTTCCCCACATATGCCCATAAAATATTGATGTGATTGAGGTGCGCCAACATGTATTTCTCTTGTTATTTGAAATGCAAGCATTAAACAAAACGAAAGCCTGATATAGAGCTTTTTGAAATAATAGAATAAAATTTCTTTCCGCAAGCAGTAATAATAATTTAGCAATAGAGGTAGGTACATTTATATTAAACGTATAAAGGAAAAACACATAAAAATATATCCATATAATAATGTTATTACCTTTGTTTATGCCGCTTTACCAAAATTAATTCAGTTTATTAATTCAGTTAAACTTTGTTTATTACCATTTTAACTCACGTGGGTCCAGGATTTACTGCTTGATAACATAAACTAAACTTACACTAACCTAAAAAAGGAAAACGTATACAATTAAATGATATTCAGTTTTTTAAAACTATCTCTTTAACTAACTTTTACTATTACCCAAAAAATATTTTTTCAAGCATCACAAAAGTGTTAATTTTTGTATATAACAATGCCTAGGCATAAAATTAAAGTACCTATTTTTACGCCTAAGCACAAACTATGCACAAAGGTACAAAAATTTGTTAACAAACTGACATTAAGCGTCAAATTAAACGAGTGCATCCATTGTTGATCAAGGTATTACTATTTATATTATTTGTTACGTTTGAAATTGGGTTTAAAGAATTATTTAATTGTGACATTTGAAAAAAATTGCATGTTCTATTGGAGTAAAAAATTACTTTCTGTGCCTTGCCTCAAACGTGCAGCCTCGCCACAACAAGTATCATTTTTACTCCTAGTCAAACAATATACAATACTATTATTACCTTATATTATCTAGAAGAAAAACTCCATCCTTTAGCTTAGGTACCATTTTCTTCTGTGTAAACATCCTACTAACTCCCCTACAAGACAAAACACAAAATAAATCAGCGATATTACATAAAATGTTGAGAATTTGAGTCATCGGTAATTTGTAGCGGTGATCGAAAAAATCCGGGCAATTTTGCTCAATCGAGATTGCGTAATCGTTGTCATGAAATTGACACTCGCTGATGTCGACGCGAAACAAACATAGTAACATGTCAGCGTATATGTTAAAAACTCGATAAAAAATTAATCTAACTAACGTAAATAAATTAATACTTCGATAAACTTACACTTTTAGTAGATGACTCCTAGGAAGATCATTTTACGAAAAAAAATCACTACCCGTAAGTATATCCGCGAATATATCAAGAAAATGTGACGAACTATTTTTGACATGACACTTGTCCCGATGGTTGTTCGTCACTGGCAAAATGGTGAGGATTTTGTTTTTGTAGTGTGCTGCGACTGACTGACAACCAATTGGCGAATTTATTGTAGTTATGATCAGGGGGGTGACAGTAAACCGGAAAATTGGAAACAGTTGTGGCGCGGTTCTACCCAGGCAGAAAGCATGGCCTTCTAGACTGTCCTAGACAAAAATCTGAATATTTCTATATGATTTCTGTCAATTTCTGCTACGGAACATTTTTATGCACGGCGGCGTCCTGTTCTTTTGTCTTTTGTCTGTGTGTCAGCGTCAGCTCCCGAGTCCTCTGGCAAGGTCGGGCGCCATTTTAATTTTTGCTGTTTAGATTTGATTGGAAGTTTGTTTCTGATATTTCGGCTGAAATTTATAAGTACAAAGATGTTTTTTAATATAAAGTTCCTTGTTAACACTTTAATAAAGTATATATGATATTAATTACATGAAGAAAATGATGAAATCGACGTTTCTGCGTGTAGTAGGTATGGGCCATATTATATATATAAATAGGTAATATATTAACTGTTTTTATATTTTTTTAGCTTTAAACCCAAAGATCTTGGGATATTCTTTGCCAAGGATTTTTCCGTATCTCTACTTTAAAGACTGATCGGTGATTTTGAGCAATTGAAAGCAAGTTATACAAGGTAAATTATGATTATTGAACTATTATTAGCCTACATTAATTTTCTACAAGATGAACAGAAATGCGTAATTACATATCACATAGGTACCTATTATGTATTTTCATAGCAATAATGCTATAAATCTATGTATGTAGATTATTTTTAAAATACAAATGAGGTATTAGATGTATATGTATCATATTTTTTATTCATTTTATTTTCATTCAAGTCCTGTTTGATTTAATTCACAAAAGTCTTATGTAGGTACCTATATTTATATTTTTTACATATTTTTTTTGATTCCAGGTTTTGTGTGGGTTCCGGTTGCCTTTTTCCTGCTTCCAGTTATTTATCCGTGAAGCTGTGAAAACATTTATTTATCTTCAAGTTTCTGTAAGTCAATGCACTGTTACTTTACTAATTCGCTTTAACACAGCATCTCTGATATTATTTAAATATTTAATATTGATACAGTAGTTTATTGGTTTATAGCTCTTTAATTGTGTTGATTTGCATATTTACATTGTTCTAAATTCCAAATAAATATTTTTGAGTAATTTTGTTGTATTATTTACTACTAGAAAGAGTAAAAAGTATATTAACCCTCATTTAAACCTCCTGAACAGCCCGCCATTAAAAACCGGAAACGGAAATAAATTTTATAAAATTGAAATTGTCATGTCTATGTCATGTCAAATGTCCCAGCCGCCATATCTGAAAATTAGTTACCCAGGCAGCCACGCTGTTTCCATAATTTAACATTGACTTGACACTTCTTCTTGTATTTATTATTTTATGGTTATGATCTTAGAACAGACACACGTGATTGACGATTTTCAGTTATTAACTGAAATTTTAATGAAAGTGTTGAAATGTTTTTAGTACCTATTTCTATAAATGGACTTTTTATGAAAAGAGTGTTTGTGTTTGTATTATTTGACTTAATAATGTTATTTAATAAATATTATTGTAGAAATTTATGGAAATATATGTAAAATACCGTTCTTGGAGAAATATTGCATTGTTTTTAGCGTTCCGTACCTCAAGAGGAAAAAATGGAACCCTTATAGTATCACTGTCCTTCCGTCAATTAAAATCATTTTTCTATGTTTAATAAACCAGATCTTATATTCTGGTCTACAGTCTCTTGAAGTTGTGAAAAAATCACACTTCTAAGTTATATATACGGCTGTTTATGAACTAGTTATTGTTATGAACAACTAGTTTATGAACTAGTTGTTTATGAGATAGATCATATACTAAGGGTCGGCATTTCTGGTCTTGGGTGCCGGTTTTCATGTGTACGAAGAGTACGGTCAACACGCTTAGTAAAATAAGATGTACTGAATAAAGACAGAAAGCCAGTATTTTCCCAAGCGCATGGAATCTAGCGTCAGATTAAGTAGTTATGTAATAAATACTTCGTATTTTTACTCACTCCAACTTACTAGATTGCCATAACGACTCACTCCTATACATGTAAACACCGACCTAAAAGTTCGCTTGCCAGCAGGGTATACTTACTTGCTGATGTGTCCCTTCTTTCCACACCTGAGACAGTTTGCGTTGAGGAATCTGCACTGTTTCGAGGATGATTTTCACTACAGCCTGAGCATACTGGCTGATTTTCTTTGGATGTCTGGTTT